TCATCACCCCAATCTTTCCTGTTAACGTTAACGGCCTCAGGGTCTGGCGAGGGCCCCCGGAGGCCGAGAACGGAAGAGAACATCCGTCGTGATTTTTGTTCGCGCCGCGAGATGATGCTATGGGGAGAGAGCTGCGCAATTGGAGGCGGCTAGGGGGTCTGAACTAGATACCGCACAAAATCTGCCCCTGGACCCTTCCGGGGTCCATCTGGCGCAGTCTTTTGCCCGCATCCGTGTTTGACGGCTCCTGGGCCCGAAAACGGCCCCTGGAGGCAGGAACAAAAACACTTCCCGATCCCAGAACCTCGAACCTCTTTCCCCTTTCCTGCTGGCCAGAGACAGTGCTGGGCCACCTCAGACCCCCAGCCGACTCCAGCCGCGCACCAAAGGCCACTCCGACAAACACTGGACACTGGATCTGGATAAGCCACACTGAATGGGGACTGCACCAGTACACTCGTTAATTTTCAAGGGAACCATTGCAGAGATCATCCGTCGACTTGTCTGGGCGGGCCTTCTCTCAATGCCCGAAGAAGGCCGCGCACCAAAGGCCACCCTGGCACCCAGACGTTCGACGACATGACTGTTTCAATGCGCGGCCCCAGAGGTCCCGACCCCTTCCCTGGGGGTAGTTTTCTTCCGTGATCCATTTCTGATAGCTCTGGGGCTCGATTACAGGCTCCTGGGAACGAAATCCAAGAAACAAGCACGTATTGGTTGGCGGCACGCACAAGGGGGCAGAGAGAGGGAAAGAAGGCTTCGTAGAAGGAGGCTGCCTCTTAGAGCGCTCTACCAGCTTCTTAGACGGGGTGCCGGCGCCTTCAGAGAAGGGGGGTGCTTCTAAGATAAGAAGCCTTCCCCCCTCACGTCAACCCCCTTTGCGAGTGGCTGAACTGGAACACGCACACACATCGTCGGAGAACTGGGCGGAGGGTTTCCCAGGCATGCGATGTCCTGATTCTGCACGGAGCCCCCAGACGCCTCCTCAACTCCTTCCCCAGAGCCGGCTTCTCATCCCGAATCGACTCGGGATGAAAAACTGGCCATGCGGAGAAAGGGCCGTTTTTGGACGATCCCGGGCCCCCTGGAGTTAAGTCGGGCCTGTCCCCCTACAGGAGGATTTCCGACGAAAAATTAAGAGTACCCCAAAATAATCAGAACAGAATCGAAAAATAGTATGGGGACTATTTTTTGAGCATTGTTTGACCTTTTTGGTGTATTTTTTTGAATATTTCTTATCTTTCGTCGAAAATCCCGCTGCAGGGGGACTATGTTTTTTAAGTATTGTTTGACCTTTTTGGGGGTATTTTGGGGGTATTTCTTATTTATCGTCGAGAATCCCCCTGTAGGGGGACACGCCCGACATAATCAAGATAAATATGGGGACTATTTTTTGAGTATTGTTTGACCTTTGGGGGGTATTGTTGGTGGTATTTCTTATTTTCCGTCGAATATCCCCCTGTAGGGGGGACACGCCCGACATAATCCTGGAGGCGAAAGACGCCCGCGGGCCCCGCGGGCGGCCGTCGGGCCCGCGGGGCGACGACGACGACGACGACGACGACGAAGACGACGACGACGGTCGACGACGACGAGGGTCGACGGCGACAACGACGACGAGAAGCCGTGCCTCTTCCGCGGCGCGAGCGTGCCTGGGCTCCCCTGGCGTGCAGCCGGCCTCTCCGCCGAGCCGGTGCCCTCCCCCCCGGATGGGGGGCCCAGTGGCCGCCCCCTCCTCCTCCTCCTCCTCCTCCTCCTCCTCCTCCTCCTCCTCCTCCTCCTCCTCCTCCTCCCCCTCCTCCCCCTCCTCCTCCTCCTCCTCCACAGTTACTCAATATGAATACTACTCTCCCTCTTCCCCTGATGGCGTGCTGGGAGTGGCCGACCCCCCCCGCGTACGGTTTTTTTACACACAGGATTCCCGGGAGTTGGGTTTTCGCCTGCGTTTTTTTTCAAAATGCAAATGCTGCTCTCGCTGAGGCGCCCGCCTCATTTCTGCTCCCGAATCGTTCCAAATCGTGCTCACGCTGCAGCGTGGGCCTTATTTTCGGATCGGTGTTTGGCCTCCGTCGTTCAGGATGGCGTTCTCGCCCCAGCGCGGGCCTCTTTCTCGCGCGCCCATCCGCCCGCCCGCCCACCACCACCACCACCACCACCACCACCACCACCACCACCACACCAGCACCAGCACCAGCACCAGCACCAGCACCAGCACCAGCACCAGCACCAGCACCAGCACCAGCACCACCACAACCACGCACACACGCACGCACGCACGCACGCGCACCACCACCCACTACGCACGCGCGCGCGGAGCCACAGGTCCGCTACGACACGCGTCCGCGGATGGAGAAAATCAGCGCCATGGTAAGGGATGGGAGGGAGGGGTAGGACGTCAGATATGATGCGAGTGCACCTAGCTTGTCCTCCTCCCCCTCCTTCTCCTCCTCCTCCCCCTCCTCCCACCGCTCGCGCCGCCCCGCCGGGCCTCGGCATCGCGGGGAGCGTGGCCGCCATGGCCGCGGCGGCGAGGGGGGACGGGGCTGCCCCCGAGATCCTGGGGCGTCCTTGGAGGCCTCCTCTGGCCATCGTTCGGACATCCATTCCCTGTGTTTTTTTCGGTTTCGTGCGTGGTTATTTCTCAAAATGATCAAGGATGCTCCTCGATGGTCCTCGCCGAAGGAAAAATGCACACGTCCGAGCGATGCCAAGTCCTACTCCCGGGGAGACGTAAGACTCGGGTGAGGGGGACTCGGGCTGGCCTGACGGGGGCCACCGTAAAAATGACGAGATCCAATCTGAAATTTGACGCGGGCTCCCGCTGCAGACATCCCACGAAAACGGGGCCGTCAAAATCCAGGACGTCCTCGTCAAAAAACAATCGGCAAACCCGAGTTCGGGCCTACTCGAGTCTTACGTTTCCCCGAAATTCGATGGGGGCCGAGTAGATGCGGTCGGAGGGTCGCGCCGCATCGCGGAGGCATCGGCGATGCATCGCCGACGTCCGCGACGCATGGGCGACGTCGGCGTGGAGAAAGTCGTGGGATCCCATCTGGGAGGCCGAGGGTCCCCTCCGCGTGCGCTCCACCCGCGTACGGCCTGGGCGATCTCGCAAGCGGGGCGGCGATCCCCGCCCTGCTCTTCCAGCTCCTGAGGCGTCGCTGCCCGCCCTGCTTTGGCGCCGCGGCTTCCGTCGCACCCCTTGCGGGAATACCGCGGCGGCGAGGGGGGGGGGGGGAACTTCCCCTCCTGGCAGACATGCTCGCGTCGTGACGGGATCAGGACGGGGCTTTTTTGGCCGTGCTCGGCCCCTGGGGGCCCTTCCCGGGGCACGGGGCCGTCGAAAAACGACCCGGGGAAAGGGTCGGGATCTCCGGAGACCTCGTATCGAAACAGACAGAACGTCGCACGTCTGGCCGAGATCCTGGGGACCCTTTGTTTCTCGAGCTGGGCGCTCTCGCTCCAGAGGCCGTTTTTTCTTGCATGGCGGGGGACGAAGCGGAGGAGGGGGGGGGCCTGGCGAGGCCCTGAAGGACCCCTGGAATTGAGGCAGGTCGAAACTCACTGGCACGCCGTTTCGGCCCAGTACTGTTTCGTGCGGCGGAGGGGAGGGGGGGAATCACATGCAAGTTCACTTGCTTGGGCTCAATGAAACGCGTGCTCCTCTCTCGGCGGGCTCCTGATCCCTCGGAGATCGACCCAGCTCAAAAAATACCACAGAAATGTGAAGTCCAGGGGGCCGGGCGTGGTTGTTCACGATGTTGCAGGTGTTTCGCGACGCTGGATCTCAGGGTTCGGGGCCCAGAGGGGAGAAAGAGACCACCACCACCGAGATCGGCCGCTACATGTGAACCCTGCCCCTGCTGGCCAGCACTGTGAAAACTTAGCTGGGGTTCAGAATCTGACAAAGTGTCTGCCGCCAGGTGAGCCCCAGCGGGGATGTCCGATACCCCAGCGCCGGTACGACGCATTGGGGCAGGGTTCGCCGGTGGCCGCCGACGAGAATCCATCGGGGCAGGGGGGGGACGCCTGTGACGAACGAACAGCACACGCTCAGACCCAGTTGTCGGGCGGGGATCCCCGCTCGAACGGGGGCCTCCCCCGAGGTCCCGCAACCCGAACCCGTACCCATAGCTAGTCCTCCTTCCTCCGACCCCCCTGTGGGTATGGGAGCGCGTGCGTTAGGAACACAAACAAAAAACAGCATAAACATAATTTCCTGTGGGTCCGCGCGGATTTTTTGGATCTGCGCCAAAACCCTCCAGCCCAGATCCAAGAACTCCGCGCGGAGCTCCGAACCATTCCTGTGGCAGTCATGCGGGCCTCCCGTCCCATATTGCTGGCTCTTGCGATCCGTCGCTGTCCGACGGCAATCGACGCTAATCTACACTCATTCGGCCCTTTCCCATCTATTACCATAGCGCGCGCCAACTCTCTCCTCTCTCAATACCGAAGAAAAGATATGGATATGTGTGTGTGGGGTTTGGTCTCCAAGTGTTGCTCGCTCGCCGCCCTGGCCCGCGGCATGCCCGCTGGGCTCTCGGTGGCGGCGGTCACGGCCCCTGCCTCCCCTCCGAGCTTCTCTTCCGGGCAGCGCGAAGGTCCCGGCGCTGCCCACGGGGGGGCCGGGCGCGACCGCCGGGAGGTCCCGCGGAGCTGAGCGCGGGAGGAGGAGGAGGAGCAGCAAAAAAGCGGCCGGCTTCTCGACTAGGGTAGCCGCACTGGGGAGGCTATGAGCGGATGCCGAGGAGCAGCAGAAGAGCGGCCGGCTTCGCTACCAAGGTACCCTGACCTTCCAGGAGGGCTAAAAAATGGCACGCGCCTTAGAAACCTTTCCCAGAGCTATTCTACGTCTTGGTTTTAGGCCGTTTCGTTTAGTTTTTTAGGTTTTTAGGCCTCCCGTGCTTAAAAATAGCTCTCTGGAAGGTCAGGGTAGCCGCATTGGGGGGGCTATGAGCGGATGCCAAGGTGCCTCAGCTGCGCCAGGTACGCCATGCGCAAGCCGCAGCGTGCTGGCACGGAGCTGAAAACGGAGATTGCCAACGTAGGTCTGGCGCGAAACGTTCGCCGAAACGTGGGCCGATACGTGCTGAACCAACACGCAGCGTGTTCAACCCAGACGTTTTAAACACGGCACGTGCTGCGTCTCAGCACGGGCGCAGCAGGCCAGCTAAGCAAGGGATTCTATCTGCACACGCCTCAGACGCTTCGTGCCCCCATAACGAGCTCCAGCGAGGCCGATACTCTCGACTGTGGTACTCACAGCAGTATAGTTTCGCGTCCTTCACCAGGCCAAGAGTTTACAAACAAAATGGCGTGACCTGCCAGGTACCTGGCTGCTCGACTCGGAAAGATGACAAGTGGACTTCTTCCGCCGAAGATTCGACCAGCATGTCTTTTGGTGGAGGAGTACTACGAGATTCGTATTGCAATCCTCTTCAAAAGGAATCCGACTGCAATCCTGTAGTGAAGGAATTCGAAGTAATCCTTTGCATGTGAACAGCCAAGGTTCTGGCAAGCCTTCCCAACGCTAAAATCCTCCTTCCAAGCTTTATGAATCCATTGAGCTTGTCTGGCATCAGGCATTTGAGAGAGTATGAAGCGAAATTGCCCTTTCTGTGTGCAAACCAAACGGATACATAGCGAACTCCGAATTTACATGATATTCCTTCAGAATTCCACATCCAGCAAAAATCACTTGATGCATCATGGTTGGAAGGGGGTCCCCGGCGGATCTCTACTGGCCGATTGTCAGCTAGTCGAAAATTTGGAGAACAGACTTTTCAAACCCTCGCTGTTCAATTGTGAAAATTCGCCGGAGACGTCCTTCTGTATAAGGCTACAGCCGGATTCCGTGAGCAAAAGATGACACTCGGATTCCCTGTGTAAAGGGTTACACGGGAGTTCCTTCCGAGAAAGATTGCGCTAGCATTCATTATGAAGATGGTTGCGATGATATTCTTTTTGAGAAGGAGTCGAAGATGACGTCTTTCCAGAAGGGCGAATTACGATAGGAATCCTTTCGCAGAGCATTATGCTGATATTCCTTTTTGTAGAGGATTGTAACAGGATTTCTTGTGTAGGGGATGATAATGGGAGGCCTCTTGTGGAGGATTACAATCAGACTCATTCTGTGGAGGGTTATGAGAAGATTCAACCGCAAAGGATTGCAATAAAGGGTTGCATGATAATTCATGTGGGAAATTCGGATGCATGGACTGTTGGACAGGACTACACCGGGATTTCCTTTCATAAGGATTACACTCAGATGCCTTTCGCGCACGATTGCTATAGGATTCGCTTGTGCAGATCACTGGAGGATTCAAATTGGAATTCCCCCAAGGGGACTCCCAGAATCCCCCGCTCTCCTTGCAAAGCCTCCCAATAATGGGAAATGATTCCCCCCGGCTGATCGGCGGATTGGGAACCCAACAATAATTTACCAAAATTTATCCACCGCGGCGGCCACCGCTGATGATCGGATGATCGAGGGGGGATCAGGGTCCCTGATGGTGATGATGACGTTGAGGGGAAGGACGAGGAGGGGAAGGACGAGTGCCACTGCCAGCCGAGAGCTGAGGGGGGGGGCCTCATAAAACACCTCCTGCGGTTCTACCCCCTCCCCATGCCCTCAGCACCCCCCGCGGCCATCCCAATGTAAGTCTTCGACGCCCAGAGGCCGATTGCCCGGCCACCCAGTGGCCGCAAGTTAGAACGGCTCGGGATGAGCTGGCCCACCTGCGGGAGGGAGTCTGGGCAGCCTACCCTGACCCCCTCGCGTCGTGAAACAAATTGGCGACAGTTCTCATGTCTTTTTCTGCCTCCGGGAGGCCTTGCCTGGCCTTGGGACTGCCAGAAAAAGACTCAGTATGACAGGCCGGTCCCAGGGAGTTGGTCGAGATATCGAGGGGTCGACGCTTCGGGCAAATCATGGCGTCGGGGGTCTGGGAAATGGGCATGGTGTGGGGTAGCACCCTGAAGTTGCGGATAAGAGTGAAGGGGGCCGGCGTGGGGTGGGTCGCGGATGGGTCGGGGGGTGGACCGCAGGGTGAGTCGCGGGGTGGGTCGCGACTAGGTAAGTCGCGGGAGGGTCGCGGGCGAGGACGACGACAACACACAGAATAGCAACAACAATAATCCAAACCGCGGAAGCGCACCTTCGGCACGCAGACAGGGATGACGTAAGACCACTCGGGCCCGTGCGAAAGTGATGGCGCCCCGCCAGCGACAAGGCCAGCGGGTCAAGCTCGCTTGCTCCAAGCCGTGCAGGGCACTCTAGCGCATGAGTGAGACCTGTTTCGGGGGCGGAGAAGGCCCAGAAAGCTTCCCAGAAGGCCGGAGACCTTCAGAGCCCTCTGAAAATGCCCGCCCCCTCGGCCTTCCCCAATGGACGCACCGCCGATTGTTGCCCTACGCCGAAAGGTACCACCCGCCCGGTCGGGCAACGACACCAACCATGGCCAATTTGCTAATTGCGCTCGGCCTGATCTGGGAGATGCCCTGGGATGCAGGGGACCAGCTCCTTTCCATTGATTCCTGAAGTTCCGTTGAAGCAACCCCTGTGCGCAAGGGATGCAACTTGTACCAATCAGCTTCATGCGAACGAGGTTGCCCACGTTTCGCCATCCTAGGTCTGGGCGGGCGAAATGTTGGACAACAGAAATCAGCGTCAAGGCTGCGTGGTTGACGTCTTCTGTGCACAGAACGACTTGATATCCACTCAAGAAATTATTGCAACTCTTTGGGCGCAGAAAGATCTGTCTACTTTCAATGTGCTCTGCCCCCATTAACAACTTGCTGTTATATGCGCTGTTGAGAACTTCGCTACGCCGACTTGCCATAACATGCGTGCCATGTAACAGTACATCTTCCAAAGCTGGGCAGCGCCTGTAAGGTAACACAGTGCAAAGCTAGGTGATCAACCTCACGAGCAAAGGCCCTCCCGTCCCGCCCAAAACTTGCACCCTCGATGACGCTACACTACTCGGCGCGGGCCTCAAACGGATCCCCACCCCGCCATCCTTTCGAGAGCCACAGAGAATAGATATCCGACGCATTGCGTTTTCCATTACTGGGTCGCCAGAAGCCCCGACCCTTTCGGCAGGGCCAGCCTGGGGCATCGGCCATCGGACATCGGACATCGGACATGCAGCTGCTGCCAGCGAGGTTGATGCAGCGGTCGTAGCTAGGCGCCGAATCACAGAGTACGCGAAAAGCTGGAAAGCGCATGTGCCAAGACGCGAACACCGACTCAGGATCGGGACATCTGCGCGAGCTGTTTAGACAGCCCCCCCATCTACTAGCGCAAGCTATGGCTATGAAGGCCTACGGTCGGGAACTATTGCTTAGCGTGTCGCCACGGCGGCCCTGGCAACATGCTGTGCCTTGCTAGCGAACAGCGTGTCGCTCCGCTCCGCGAAGAGGGAGGCTGGGAAACACACGGGACGTTGATGCCTAGGGGCCGCGACGTTGTTAGCGTGTCGCGCCGAAGCGTGATCAGCCAGAACCAGCGGCTCTACACGCTAAGCCATAACTCCTGACCGTTGCCTGGCTCGACAAGGAAACGCAGCAACGGAAGTAGGAAGAGGGCCATCAGAGAGAGAGGCGGACGTCTGTTTTGAGCCTCCTCGCGACCGCCCTGCAGAGGCGAATCTCCGCGTCGCCGGGTCTACTGGCAACGCTCGGGGGCGACGGGCAGCAGGAGCACGAGACGGACCCCGACAACCGATGTCGTGAAAAGGCCCTGCGGAACGGAGCAATCACGCCCGTGCCATCGCTCGGACGTCCACTCCCCGCGCATGGTTCGGCCTCGTGCGCGTATGCTTCGCCAAATGTTCCAGGGTGCTCCTGGGGGCCTCCTATATGGGGTCCGAGTAGACGGGGTCGGGGGATCGCCCCGCATCGGCGATACATGGGCGATACATCGCCGGCGCATCGGCGATGCATCGGGGACGTCGGCAATGCATCGGCGCCGAAGGCGTGGAGAAAATCGGACTCCACATCGAGCCGCATCGGCGATGCATCGGCGATGCATCGGCGATGCGGCGCGATCCTCCAACCCCATGTACTCCGACCCCATCTAGGAGGCCTAGAGCTCCTCAATGGTGCTCCCCAAGAAAAGCATAAACGTCCGAGCAAGGCAAAGCGCCAGGACATCCCCAGCGTATCAGTTCCAATTGTTCACGGGCCGGGTCGATCCACGAATGCCCCGAAGGTCGAATCTGGGCAAATCGCCCGTTGTGCTTTCCTCAGGACGCCCAGGTGTGAGGAGAGGAGGAGGAGGAGGACATTCAGGAGGACACGAGGAGGAGGCGGAGGAGGAGGAAGAGGAAGAGGAGGAGGGAGGGAGGGAAGGGTGAGCGGGACGGATGATGAGGAGAGGCTAAGAGAAGGAGGAGGAGGAGGAGGAGGAAGAGGAGGAGGAAGAGAAGAAACTACTGGCAACGCTCGGCCTCACCCGTGAAGAGTCGCCAGTAGCCGTCGCTGGTCAGACAGTTGTCGCGGAAGCTTGGCAGTCGAGGCGACATCTCCTCCCACCAGGATGAAAGCCTCCAGGGCGCGGGTACCCTCCAAATCCTCCTGGCTCGCTCGATAAGGCATGGAGAAGCGGCCCCACCACTGGGAAGGAGAAGCGAGAAAGGCAGCAACGGCGTCTGCCTTAACGCTTTTGCGACCGGTTGAGTGGGGGAAGGGAAAGCAGCGACACAAGCACGCCTGGTAGCACCTGGGGATAGGCGAGGTCTCGTTAGATCTTCACGTGGGGTCACCCCGCTGGGATCTCCAGGCCATCTGCGTAAAACTGCAAGCCGCTGAGCACCCTCAGAGGGGCAGCGAAGAAGAGAGAGTCGCGCGCTTGGCAGCTCCAAGGGGAAGCGAGGTCTATTTTGGCCTTCGTGGCTTCGAGCTCCGCTGGACCCCCTAACAGCGCCGCAGACTGGCGACAGGTACGCGCCTGGCAGGACCGGTGGACGGCGATGTTTACTTGGATCTGCGTAGTTCACAACTCCGCTGGACCCCAAAGGGCGCGGGCAGGAGGAGGAAGAGGAGGAGGAGGAGAGGGAGGGGGAGGAGGAGGAGGAGAGGAGGAGAGGAGGAGGGAGGAGGAGGGGAGGAGAGGAGGGAGGAGGAGGAGGAGAGGAGGAGGAGGAGCCAGGAGGAGGAGGAGGAGGAGGAGGAGGAGGGAGGAGGAGGAGGAGGAGGAGATGAGGAGGAGGAGGAGGAGGAGGCGGAGGAGGAGGAGGAGGAGGAGGTGGAGGAGGCGAGGCGGAGGAGGAGGAGGAGGAGGAGGAGGAGGAGGAGGAGAGGAGGAGGATGGAGGAGGAGGAGGAGGAGGAGAGGAGGAGGAGGATGAGGGAGGGAGGAGGAGAGAGGGAGGAGAAGAGGAGGAGGAGGAGGAGGAGGAGGAGGAGGAGGAGGAGGAGGAGGAGGAGGAGGAGGAGGGGAGGAGGAGGAGGAGGGAGGAGGAGGAGGAGGAGGAGGAGGAGGAGAGGAGGAGGAGGAGAAAGGAGGAGGAGGAGGAGGAGGATGAGATGAGGATGGGGAGGGGGGGAGGAGGAGGAGGGAGGAGGAGGAAGAGAGGAGGAGGAGGAGGAGGAGGAGGAGGAGGAGGAGGAGGGAGGAGGAGGGGGAGGAGGAGGGGGAAGAGGAAGAGGAGGAGGGAGGAGGAGGAGGAGGAGGAGGAGGAGGAGGAGGAGGGTGTGGAGGTGGAGGAGGAGGAGGAGGAGGAGGAGGAGGAGGAGGAGGAGGAGGAGGAGGAGGATGGAGGAGGAGGGGGAGGAGGAGGAGAGGAGGGAGGAGAGGGGAGGATGAGGATGAGGATGAGGAAGGATGAGGAGGAGGTTGAGGAGGAGGAGAGGAGCAGGAGGAGGAGGAGGAGGAGGGGGAGAGCGAGAAGGAGGATAAGAAGGAGGAGGAGGGGGAGGAGGAGGAGGGGAAAAGGAGGAGGGTCAAGAGGAGAAGGAGGAGGAGGAGGAGGAGAAGGAGGAGGAGGAGAAGCAGGATAAGAAGGAGGAGGAGGGGGAAGAGGATGATGATGATGATGATGATGATGATGATGATGATGATGATGAGGATGATGATGGATGATGAAGATGTGATTGATGATGTGATGATGATGCTATGCTGATGCTTGATGATGATGATGAGGATGATGGTTGATGCTGATGATGCTGGTGTTGATGATGATGTGGATGATGATGATGGATGATGATGATGATGATGATGATGGATGATGATATGATGATGATGTCAGGGAGGAGGAGGATGGAGGAGGAGCAGGAGGAGGAGGTGCATGAGGAGGAGGAGGGGAGAAGGGGTAGGAGGAGGAGGAGGAGGGGGAGGAGGAGGAGGAGGAGGAGGAGGAGGAGGAAGAGTCGAGGAGGAGGAGGGGGAAGAGGAGGAGGAGGAGCGCTGGGGAGGAGGAGGGAGGAGGAGCGGAGTAGTGGAGGAGGAAGGGAGGATGAGGATCAGGATTAGATTGGTGGGGTTGATGATGAATAATCAGCTGATGTGATGCTGTTGATGCTGATGCTGATGATGATGTGATGATGATGATGATGATGATGATGCTGATGATGTTGATGAGGAGGAGGAGGAGGGGAGGAGGAGGAGGAGGAGGAGGGAGGAGGAAGGGGACAAAGGGGGAGTGGGAAGAGGGGATGAGGGGGAGGAGGGGAATGGGAGCAGGGGAGGAGGGGGTGGTAGAGGAGGAGAGGAGGAGGAGGGGGGGAGGAGGAGGAGGAGGGGGAAGAGAAGGAGGAGCAGGAGGAAGGAGGAGGATGATGAGGAGAGCAGGATAGGAGGATAGGGACGGAGGAGGAGGAGGAGGAGAGGAGAAGGAGGAGGAGGGGTGAAAAGGATGAAGGAGAGGACAAGGAGGAGGAGGAGGAGGAGGAGGAGCAGGAGGAGCAGGAGGAGGAGGGGGAAAAGGATGAAGAGGAAGAGGACAAAGAGAGGGAGGAGGAGGAGGAGGAGGAGGAGGAGGAGGAGGAGGGGGAGGAGGAGGTGGAGGAGGAGGAGGAGGAGGCAGTGAAGCCGAGCCCCTCAGGTGTGAGGGAAAGCGGCGACAGGTGAGGTCTGGGTGTAACATACACGAATGTGAGGCGGGCGGGCAGCCAAATCTGAGGCCAAGCGCGGTTCAAAGACTCATGATGGGGCGGACTGGGAGGGGAGCAGGGGAGGGGGAGTATCGAGAAGGTTCGAGGATCGATGATCGAACTTTCTTTCTCGCACTGCGCGGGCCAGGCATACAGAGTGCGAGGTCCAAGCGGCACCTCGCCGTGTGGACTGCCGCCGACGCCGCAGCGAGAACGTGCAGAACGAGGGTGGGTGGGCGGGACAAGCGGGCCCCCTGATACAACGTTGCCCCGGACAGAAGCGAGAGGGGAGGAAGGGGGGGAGAGAACGGCAGGGACGCAAGAAGACGGCGCATGCATGGGACCAGCGGTGCTTACTTCTTTGCTTCGCCTTTGGAAGGCAAAACTGTTTTGCTCGTGTTTGGCCTCCGGGCGCCTCCCGTGGCCTCAGGGGGCCTCCGCGGGCACCTTGACCTCCTCTGGAGACCTATGGAGTCCTATGGGGGCTTCCTCCTTGACCGCTGTCCCGCTCCACTTTGTTCCCCTCCTCCTGCCCCTCCTTCTGCTGCTCCTGCTCCTCATCATCCATTCCTCCTTCATGTTCTCCTCCTCCTACCAAGCATCTTACTCCCGCTGACTCTCCTTCTCCTCCTCCTCCTCCTCCCCCTCCTCCCCCTACTCCTTCTGCTCTCCCTTCCTTTCCATTTCTTCCTCCGTCTCCTCTTCCCCTGTTCCACCCACCACCCGTCCTCCGCCTCCTCCGCCTGCGCCTCCCCAGACTCTCAACGTCGTGTCATTTTCAACGCGCGGGCACCAAAACTCCTGGCCCCTTCCCGAGCACGGGGTTGCCCATCCTGGAGACGCTCGCAGCTCCGCGGCCCGAGAACACGGCCACTGGAAACCGACCATTGCTACAAGAGCTCCGCTCTGGTCCCCTCAAGACCCCGACCCCTTCAGAAGAAGAAGAAAACGCCATAAACATAAACTTTTGGCCCTCCGCGCAGATTTCTTGGATCCGCGCTGGGCCCCCCCGGTGGCGCTTTTCGGGGATGGACAGGACCCCTTTAGCGAAACGAAATTTAGTGAAGACGACCTCGGGCCCAAACCTGGCGGGCGCAAGCCTGGAAAATCACGGCCGCGGCGCCCTCTCGAGCACCGAGAGCGGACAATTCACGAATCGACCTGTCAAGGTGGGGGTTCTGTCTGCCCCCGAGCTTCTCCTTCTTCTAAAAGCTTCCTGTGCAGCCATCGGGCGCTCTGCACGCCCCTGGCCGAGAGGTGCTCTTGTGCTCTACTGCAGCTCGTGGGGGCCTCCCAGACCGTCTTGTTTCGGCGGTGGACAAACCTCCCTTTGGTAAACCTCCCCTTAGTGAAAACGGCCTGGGACTGAAACCGACGGGCCTGGACCCGCAAAAATGACGGCTGCGACGCCCTCTCGCGAACCGCAAACGGCCAATTCACTAATCGACGTGTCAGGGTAGGAGGTCTATCAATCTCCGATTGTTGGCTCTTGCGAATCGACGCGAATCGTCGCTGATGGGCGCTGAATCGACGCCCATCGACGCGCAGAGGGGGGGAGCGGGAAGGGGGAAGGCCTCTTTTTAGACGGAGGCGGCTTCTTAGTAGGCGCCGGCCTTTCATCTACAGATAATGCGGGATGACGATTGATAAAAAATGGGAGAGAACGATTAAACAAAAAAACAGTTTCCTGCTATTTCTGCACAATTTTCTGACTGGAGGAGAACGATATAAACAATAAGTTGTTCCAGCCCGCGGCCGGTTTTTTCTAATCGTCATCCCGGGCGCCGCCGCGTGAACACGAACCCCGGTCATTTATTAATCGTCATCCTCCATTAAGGCTGGCGCCTTCTAAGAAGCAGGGCTGTCTCTAAGAAGCCTTCCCCCCTCCCCCTACCCTCCTCTGCGCGTGGCTGAGAATCGACGCTAGTCGACACCAATCGACGCTGAATAGGAGCGGATCCATTCACCAGACGCTAGCCGACGCTACGTCAGGTTCGTGCGGCGACGGCGCGTGGAACGCTTTTTGACAGCGTGTCGATCGTTCAACCTTGAACCGATCACGGCCCTGATCGCTCGAGGTTGAATCCCGTCGGCTCCTGTGGCGATGCTGTGCCCCTCGGCGCGTCCCCGTCGTCCTTCCTTGCGGAATACAACCTTGAACGCCTTCGCAAGCGTCGCCAGCGCGCCATCGCCTTGTGAACCGACCGTGCACACATCTCCCATGGTTTGCTACCGAGCGCCCCCATCCGGACCCCCGCCGGCTTGCCGGCCGCCAGCCTCTCTGGCGTCAGGTCGTCCCACTCGTCCACAACGACGAGGGGGAAGCCGTATCTGCCCCCCCGCCGCTCCTCTCGGTGGTGGCATCCGAACCCTACCCGACAGTCGGGAAAAGCAGGTAGAATCATGAAGCAGGAAGGCGGATGAAATAGATTGGGATCAAAGACAAACAAGAACACACAGCGATCCTTGAGGCAAGAAGGCGCTTGAAGCAGATCGGGGTCTGGGAATACAGAAATACCTACTTTCAACGACCTGCGCGTACCCCGGCCAACTATCGATTCTCCTGAATGGATGGGAGCCTGGGGTAGTGGTCGGATTTCGCCGCGTGCCCAACGAATTCCGAACCCGCGCCGCCACCGCCCATCGAGTTGCCCGAATCGTTGATCGGCCAGGGTCGGGTGCGAATTGTACTGCCGAGCCTCCCCCCTCCGTGGGAAGCTCGGAGTGTGTCGAAACCTTTTGTTTGCGAGCAGCCAGAGCGGTCGCCCACGCGTGCGAATGGCCGGCGAGCCGCGCCGCGACAGGTGAGAAAGAATAGGGCAGCCGCAGAGGAGGAAGAACGGCAAAATCATCTCAGCAGCGCTCTGGGAACACCCTGAATAGTCAGGCACAGGCTCGGCATCGGATATCTAGCGTGAAGGAGGGGAGTGTACATTGTTGGTGCAAACTATGAGGAGCGAGCAGTGTGGCGCACGACTTCTGTGGTGCGAGCAAAGTGGTGCAAGCTGTGCGGCGTAAGTTATGTGCACATGCGATGTGGTGCAGAATATGCGGTGTAAGAATTGAAACGCAAGCCAGCCAAGTCATGCCGAACATGGAAAGCAAGCAGCGCGAGGTGCCCACGAGGCGAGGCGCCGACGGCAGCCCACCCGGCAAAATCCTGACTCAAATGGCCAGCGCACGGGGCGCCCACCAGGCGCCCACCAAGCGAACCATCGACACACACACACACACACGCAACAAGTGCACGGGCGCCCACCACCCACGGCCGCCCATCAGACGAAACCTCGACACACCCAGCCATCGAACGGAGCGCCAACCACGAACACAACCTTTCAATTCTCAGTAACACACGTAAGGACCCCTAAGCGCAGGAGCGTCTGGGACGAGGGGTAGAGAAACAACAAACACACACCGTTGAAGCGATCCAGCACGAAGCGGAGAAGCGATGTCCAGCCTTTCTGTGTCATCACTCGACGACTCGGCGGAGCAATAGGTGGCGGTTCACACGGGCTTCGACGAACTGATCTGCCGAGGCAACGGTTCGAATGCCACCCATGGACAGCCTTTCCGACCTGGGTTGTGCTTGATGGTTCTGGAGCCCTGGACTGGACGCCACATGCCGCAATAATGTTGCCGACGACGACGACGACGACGACGACGACGACGACGACGACGACGACGACGACGACGACGACGGCACCCGCGAAGGCCCCTGGGGCGCCTGACGAGATCGTCGAAGGCGGGGTACGGCCCCCGGCGGGCGATGGGTATCGTGAGCACGAGGAGCGCCTCGAGCTGCTTGGGGGTCTGCACCCCGCAACCTTCGTTGGGAGCGACAGGGGAAGGAGGGGTGAGGATACGATGACGATGATGACGATGATGACGATGACGATGATGGCGATGACTTACATCAATAGAATTCCCTTCGGATGAAAAACAGGCAGTGTGTGGGGGGAATATGCAGCTCGGAAGGTGCTTCGATTGCATTTGGGTGTGTGTTCGTTGCTGCATGTCTGCCGACATGCTCAATGCAATGAAAGATGCAGGTCGGTATTTACGTAGACTCGATTTGCTGCAGTGGGAGTTACACGTTGTCAGTGTGCGGTTCAGTTTGGGTTTCGATGCCCATACCGATTGCAAGCTGATCATGAATTCGATGGGTTGTTCTGTTAAACCGTCAATGCTTAGATGCCTCCTAGATGCGCGAATAGACGGGATCGGAGGACCGCGCCGCATCGCCAACGCATCGGAGATGCATCGCCGACGTCGCCGATGCATCGGCGAGGTCGGCGTGGAGAAAACAGGGCTCCACATCGAGCCGCATCGGCGATGCATCGGCGATGCGGCGCTATCTCCCGAACCCATCTACTCGGACCCCATCTGGGAGGCCTAGAGACTTACTTTTTGCGTCGGCGGCTAGGCAGAGGGTGACTGCGATGGCGATAAAGGTTTAAACGGGGGTGCCGTTAGAAAAAAAAGTGCCACCATGCAAGAGGAGGAGGAGGAGCAGGGAGAGGACGCGGCCGGAGGCAAACAGGGAACGGGGCGGGCGGCTCAGGGGTCAGACCGCTCCCCTAGAATGTGGCGCGGCCAGCCCCGTCGCAGAAGCCGCGGCGGCTGCTGCGTCAGCGGGCCAGGGGCGGCTGGGCCCAGTGCGGGGAGGCAAGTCCCGACCTAGAGACTTACGCGCCAGATTCCCACTTCCGTGGGCATCCTGGCGTGCACTACGATGCCACTGCAGACGTGCGCCCCGGTGCGATGTTGGCGGTCCTGCAAGGGCTGGGTTCGGGCCGAGGGCGCCCCTTTAGAAGACCTCAGCCCTCACTGCACTCCCCGAGGAGATAAGAGAGACAAAGCACGAAATAAACACAACACCGAAAACTAGGATCAAGAGTACCATCATTTTGAGCAAAACCTGGGCAAGTTTTCTGACAGCTTCTTGAAAGCAAACCCGGATCAACTCCTGCTGTTCACGCTGGAGGAGCAAACGCGCCTAAGGAACTGAGCCAGCTTTCCCGAAAGTTAGGTTCAAAAGCGCTGGTCTGGCGTTTCGGGCGGAGGATTCTTAACCATCTGCTCGACCGAAACGTTCGGAACTCCCAGGGGTTCTCTTGGATCTGCGCTGGACCGCCCTAGCCTAGCGGCGCCTCCGGCGCCGCGCCGGGCGCGCTCCGCGAATTCCGCGCGGACCTCCGACAAAGGAGGAGGAGGAGGAGGAGGAGGAGGAGGAGGAGGAGGAGGAGGAGGAGGGAGGAGAGCTCCTGCGCGCGCAGCTTGTTTTTTTTGGGGGGGACAGAGCTCGGCGACCCCGATCGGCGACCGAAGGGCGGCGGCGGCGGCGGCGGCGCTCGCGGGGACCGTTCGGCGCCATCAGGAACCTGTGGCGTGCCACCTCGGCCCACCTGCGGCGGGAGCCCCCGCCCTTCCTCGCGAGGGCCCCCTTCGGCGACACTCTCCGCGCGCAGCCGCCCGCCGCCGCCCGCCTCCCTCGCCTGTTCTGCCCGCCTCCATCGCCCGCCTCCGCACTCGTGGCCCGCTCGGGCCGCTCCACCTCCGGATCCCGCCCCACGCTGAGGAGGAGAGACAGGAGCAGCACCCAGCGGAGGGCTCTCGTCGTCGTCGTCGTCGCCGTCGCCGCCGCCGCCGACGCCGCCGCCGTCGTCGTCGTCATCGTCGTCGTCGTCGTCGTCGTCGTCGTCGTCGTCGTCGTCGTCGTCGTCGCCGCCGCCGCCGCCGCCGCCGCCGCCGCCGTCGTAGTCATCATCGTTGTCGTCGTCGTCGTCGTCGTCGTCGTCGTCGTCGTCGTCGTTGTTACCACCGCCTTGGAGACGGAGGAGGAGGAGGAGGAGGAGGAGGAGGAGGAGGAGGAGGGGGAGGAGGAGGAGGAGGAGGAGGAGGAGGAGGAGGAGGAGGAGGAGGAGGAGGAGGAGGAGGAGGAGCAAGGAGGAGGAGATGCGAGGGTGACGCAGAGGATGGACGAAGAGGGGGGAGGAATGGGAGGGGCGAGGAGGAGAGGATGAGGGGGCATGGATGTTCATGGATTGAATTCCCTGAAATGTCTGACGACTTCTGGAAATAAAAGGGCCTACCTCCAGGGGAGGAGGAGAAGCGGGGGTGGGGGGTGGTCGACTACACCTCCGGCGTCGTCACGAGAGAGCTACGACGCGTAGGCCTTTCCAGAACCGGGTCCGCAGGGAGCCCGTTTGGGGTTCGGGGGGCTTGCAACGAAATACTGCCCGCGACGAACAGCCCTTCCGTGGGCTAGGGTGCACAACTCTGCGGCAATGAAGCCGTGAACGAGATCACGGCGTCGGAGGTCTGTGGATGAGTCGAGGAGGGCTCATCGTTTGCGGTGGCTGGTGCCAGGGTGTTGCTGCGTCGCGTCTGGCGCCCTTCAATTGACGGATCGCCGTTTCTAAGGCGTCTGGCTTGCAAGCCTCAACCAGCGCTGCTCTGCTCTGTAATGGAGTAGGACAAGACAACCGAGGAGGCGAAGCAGGCTCCTGCAACTATCATCTCCCTGCATCTCGTCATTCTTCACCTGCACCTCCGTCTCTGCCTTCTCCACCTTCCTCTCCTCTCGTCGTTGTTACCACCGCCTTGGAGACGGAGGAGGAGGAGGAGGAGGAGGAGGAGGAGGAGGAGGAGGAGGAGGAGGAGGAGGAGGAGGAGGAGGAGGGGGAGAAGGAGGAGGAGGAGGAGGGGGAGGAGGAGGAGGAGGAGGAGGAGGAGGAGGAGGAGGAGGAGGAGGAGGAGGAGGAGGAGGAGGAGGAGGACGGGGAGCGGGCGTCGAGGCGGAGGAGAAATGTTTACTCCGATCTCCCCCTGCTCCCCAACCTCTTCCGCTCCCACGTCAACCTCCACCGCCGTTTCCTCCTCGGCCCAGTCGAATCGTCGAGGAGAAGAAATGTTTACTTCGATCTCCCTCTGCTCCCCAACCTTTTCCGCTCCCACTTCAAACTCCACCGCCGTTTCCTCCTCGAATCAGATGCTCTCCCCCATCCCCTCCCGGAGACACAGCGCAAGGGCGCCGCCTCCCGCACTCCCCGTTCAATCCGTTCCCCCTGGTCCACCCAGTCGTGTCCTCCCCCCCCCCATCCCGCCTTCCCCCTGATCAAACCCTCTTGTCCCTCCCCCTCCCTTGCGCCTGCTCGCCGCGCCCCCCCCCTCTTTCGTTCTCGGCCGTCGCCCTCTCACGCACGAGCCCTCGGGGCACGCGCGCAGAACATGAGGTGAGGCATCGCGGGCGTGGCAAGCAGCGAGGGCCGGGCCTGCGCCAGGCACGGCGGCCCTGCACCTAACAAAACACCTGGGATCGCCGCGGGTGGAGCGAGAGGCGGCCGATGCCCAGGGGACGATCCGCCGACCCAGTCCGATGGGGGCCACCAGGCTGCGAGCCCCAGGATCCCTCAGCAAGCCCCAGACATTTTTTGGTCGGCGGGGCGAGAGCGAGCCTCTTCCGCTAAAAGCTAGGCGGGCTACGCACAGCTTTAATTAGGGAGGCAGGGCGCAGGCAGGCGTGGCCTCAGGCGGCCGGAGTGGGCGGGGCCCGGGGTGCAGGCGGTGCCGAAGAGCTTGCACAGGAAAAGGTGCGCCGCGGACAGGGACCGGAGGCGAAGCTCCGGAGGGTGAGCGGTGAGCGGAGCAAGCCCCAGACAGGCGACGTCCTGATTTTTTTTTTTCGAGACGGCGTCCCTGGCAGTCCCTCCGCGCGCACACCTCCCACGAGCTCCGCTCCCGGAGGCCTCCAGGAGGCCCTCGGCTCCGGCTCCCCCCGCGGGCGCCCAGGGGCTCGCCATGGGCCACGGGGGGCGCTCTTCCTCCTCCTCCTCCTCCTCCTCCTCCTCCTCCTCCTCCTCCTCCTCCTCCTCCTCCTCCTCCTCCTCCATGTGCCCGCGCTGGCGTCGCCGCCGCGCGAGACCCCAGGCCTGAGAGCATGGCGTGAGCACCCGCTGGCCGTGTGTTCGCAGCCACTGCCTGTCCAGGGCACCCCACAGTCTCCCAGGACACCCAGGATGCCTCCATAGAGGGAAGAGAACTGTGCACGTATACCGGCTCTGGCCAGGCCCATCCTGAGCCCTGGATCGGTGCATACGCCCTCTACCTTGGCCAGGAAGGTATATGCACCGATCCTGGGTCAAGGATGGGACTTGCCAGGATCGGTGCACGCGTATAGTTCTCTTCGACCGACTCCAACGGCGCGGGTCGGCCCACCAAGGCCTCCATGGGGCTTTGTAGATGGCATCCCAGAGCGTACTCCAAGTGCAATCGACGCGTTGACTGCCTGTGCTTAGCTGGCAGGCGCATGTCTTGCTGTCGAGAGGTCTCAACACGGCTTCAAGACGGCCCCCAGTGCCCCCGAAGAATTGAACTGCAGCGTTGCCCCGCATAGGTGACCAAAAGGTCGCACGCAGCGACCCTACACGCCGCAAGACCGCCCGAGATGGCGTGAGGGGCGTGCCGAAGGGGGCGTGGAGGCCGCACGCGAACCCTGTCTCTTGAGGCGCAGGTGGCGCTCCCAGCGGGGCGCGAAACGTGTCAGGGGCATGCCGAGAAACGCGCGGGGGGCCGGCATGCGACACCGCCCACTGGGGTCGCAAATGGAGCCCCCCCCCGTGCGGGCACGAACCGTTGTGAGCGGCGTGCCGACGCGTGCGCGGGGAGGCAGGCGAGCCCCCCGCTGGAGCGCACGACACGCGCGATAGGGGGGGGGGGGGCACTGCAGAGGGCGTGGGGCGGCATGCGGCCGCGCACCCCCACTGGAGACGGCAGGCTCAGGTCGGGCACGTCCTCCTACAGGCTGAGCTTGGACGAAGAATCTAGAACAGTCGAACACTCGTCCCCCACCCACAGTAGTCGAACACTCGTCCCCTTGCTGTTCTTGTCCAACAGAAACTATGTCTGCAGATTCCTCCTGTCGAGGGCCAGGCCCGACAGAAAGGCAGGCCAGCGCTCGCAGAGGTGCTGCGAGCGGGGTGCCGGAGCGGGCGCGGGGGGGGCGTGCGCGCCCGCCCGCTGGGCCTGCGGGTGGAGCTCCCTGCGAGGGGGGCACGGCGCCTCGTGGAGGGCGAGGGGGAGGGGGCAGGGACGAGGAACTTAGAGGGGGAAGAAGCGGCGGAAACAGAGGAACTTAGATGGGACGAGGAACTTAGAGGGGACGAGGAACTCAAGGGGCAAGAACTTAGAGGGGACGAGGAACTTAGAGGAAGAAGCGTTTGACGGGACGGAACTTACAGTCATCGGCCTGACCTAAGGAACTTAGAGGAGACATGGGGGGCGGGGGCAGGGACGAGGAACTTACAGTCATCGGCCTGACCTAATGAACGATAAATAAGGAACGAAGCCCCTCTCTTCCAAGGAATAACGCATAGGGAACGATGGACAAGTTATAGATAACGCATAGGGAACGATACATAACGCATGCAAGCCTAAGGAACGACCGAGCCCCTTTTGAAAAGTAAGTGTTCCTTAGCAAGCCGCTCATTGTAGAGGGGCAAGAAGCGGCGGAAACATGAGCTTTTGACCGTCCGCGCGGACTTCTTGCATCTGCGCTGGACCCCCCTCCCTGGCGCGCGGAGCTGGAGGCGCCGCCGGGGGGTCCCAGCGCGGATCCAGGAAATCCGCGCGGAGCGCCAAAAGTTTATGTGTACGACGTTCTTCTCCTTCTTCGAGGGAAGGAGATAAGGGTTCAGGAGTGAGGAGAAAGGAGACGCGCGGCGCTGCGCATTCAAAACGAAGACCCAAAAGCACATCAGGGCTGGGACAACAGAGCCATTGTTTCGTTGAGTGGATACTGCTGGCCAGCACGGGGCCCAGAGAGGCTCCAGGCAGCCGAAAAGACCTCACAAGCGCCCCAAAGATAGTACTTTTTGGGCTTCGAGTGGGGGGGAGTGACGCTCTCCCTTGTTTTAGGCGAGGTCCCCCAGCATTCCCAAAATAAAACCAAGAAGGCCTTCAATACGGTCCCAGGTGAGCCCCAAGAAAGCCTCCACGGCTCTCAAAAGGGCGCCGAGAGAGACACAATGTTGCTCCGAAAGACCCCCAGAGTTTCTGAGTTTACCACTGCGGGCCTCTCTGCCTCATTTCCCTGAACTCGCCTGGGCATCGCTCATGGACGGGCTGGTGGGGACATGCGAATCGGCAACATCTTGCGCCAGTGCGGATTGCCGACATGAGCATGAGCGGGGGTATCGATAGGAATGGGCACGGGCACAAGCAAGGGTAGTACAATCATGAGCACGGGGAGATAGGAGAGGCGGAGGAAGAGGGCGAACAGGAGGGTGAGGAGGAGGAGGAGGAGGAGGAGGAGGATGAGGAGGAGGGGGAGGATGAGGCGGAGAAGGGCAACGAAAAATAGCATGGGTTGATTGGAGCAGGCCGAGCGGACGCGCTTCCCCATGAA